GTTTAAAAAATAAATAAATGTACGTACATTTTTCTTTTTATTTCTACTTAATGCATGTTTATAATGTTTTTAACTTTACAAAGTTTAATGAGAAAACAATAAAGTAAATTGAAATTACCTTTACTAGTGATTAATGAGATACTTGAGGTTGATGCTGCAAGACTAAATATTTGATATCTGGTTCGATTTTCGTAAGGAACAAACGAAGGTCTCCTCTTTCGGTGATATTCAGACGACTTCTCTGTTTGCGCATAATATGATTTCTCATCTGTGCGTCAGCTCATCTCCTATCCCTCCTCAATTCCCCTCCCCACTTTTTTTTTACTTTTTTCAATTTTTTTAACCTTACTTATAGCAATGCCCAGTAGGAAGGCTGAGCTAGGTAGCCCACTATAACAGACAGGCACACATACATATAGACAGACACACATACATACAAAGACACATACATACAAACAGGCACACACATACATACATACATACATACAGACACACATACACACACACACACACATGACACATACAGACACACATACAGACACACATACAGACACACACACAGACATGCACACATACACACAGACACACGTAAGGCATAGATACAAAGACACACACACATACACACATACACACAGACACAAGACACACATACATACAGACACATACATAAGACACACATACATACAAAGACACATACACAACACATACATACAAAGACAAGACACACACAACACATACATACAAAGACAAGACACACATACACACACACACAAGACATACATACAAAGACACATACATAAGACACACATACATACAAAGACACATACACACACAAGACATACATACAAAGACACACACACCAGACATAGATACAAAGACACACACACAAACACACACACACACACATTATATTTAAGTCACCCTCCTGTTTCCTACCTTTAAGGTGCAGGAGGGTGACATTCCCTGGGGTCCAGTGGTGGCTCAGGTAGATGGGAGTCAGAGTTCCCACTCTGACTCCCTGGTCTTCCTTCCGCGCGGCTCTGTGTTAGCTGGGAGGAGTGATGTGCAGTCACTTCCTCCCAGCTCTGTGATGTAATCACAGGTGGCCCGGTCGCGCTGTTAAAGTGCCCAGCGCAGACTGGGCCTCCTCACAATCCACATCCATCGGGTGGCCCTAACAGCATGGGCCACCCGATGGACCCCTTGGACGGTGGCCCCGGTGGGGCTGCAGATGGTGATGGCGGTACCCGGTCGCAGGGGTACCGCCGGCTCGCAACCGCCCGCCCACCCAATCTCTCCAAATGAGGAAATCCCAACCGCCCACCTGGAATCCTGAAACGGCCACTAGTGGGCAGTAGGGACCAGGTTGACGACCCATGCTCTGAGAATCAGCATTGACACGCCCACAATGTATGTCCACCAATGGCCATGCTCAAGTGATTCTCTATGAGAATCAATAATGACACGCCTTACTGGGCAATGCCGGAGCTTAGTGATGCAATTTGCATCACTCAACACATGCTCACAATGCCTTGCCAAAGATGTATTTAACCTAAGTTACACTACAAACACAGCATTCAGACACTAAAACGTACATACCACAACACACACACAAACATTTCCTCACCATAGTAGGTATCCTATATTGTCATATGTTTATTATAAATAAATATAAAGAGACCGACAAACTCATACCCAAAGAGCTTTGTGTTATCTCTGTCTATCTATCTATCTATCTATCGAGATTTATTAACATGGGCTGGCAGAGAAGGGGTTAACAGAGGGTAGTAAGGTTGGCTGACAGGGACTGGCAGGGGAGGGGTTAACAGTGGGTAGGGAGGTTGGCTGACAGGGGAGGGGTTAACAGTGGGTAGGGACGTTGGCTGACGGGGGCTGGAGAAGAATAAGGTACATTCATTCAGAGACTCCACTCTAAAGCACTGCAGAAAATTAAGAATTGAAAGAAAATAAACTAACCATGGGTATTTGAGCTTATAAGCTTTAATTTAAGCTTAACTTGTCATCACCGCTAGCAGCATAGGACCCTTAACACTTGACAAAAGTTACGTGAGAGCACAAACATTTGCAAAATGCTTTCCTCCATTACCAGGGAATGGTGTCAGGGTACCCCTCACATCATACTTCATACAACCCGCTTGTGGTTAATATTCTTGGCCTAAAACGTTACTGTTGAAATGCAGTGCAATCAAGATAATTTAATAGGTTGCTGATATAAGTATACAAGGTTGGATAGTTTTTTTTTTTTCAATTTTCACTCTTAAAACAGCACTTTTCTTTAAGGAAACAAACGGGTAAAAATTGTTTAGGAATTTCAATCAGCAGTGATGCCATGGAAGTATAAAGGAGAAACAGAAATTTTTCATATATATATATATATATATATATATATAAACAGTGATTTTTATTTATTTTGTATTTGAGCACCCCTTAAGGACGTCATGATTCCCTTTTATTCCAGAAGTTTGGTCCTTCAGGGGTTAAGGATGCTAAAAAGCAAACGTAGAGTGTATATATATATATATATAAAAGCAAATGTAGAGTATATATATATATATATATATATATATATATATATATATATACTCTACGTTTGCTTTTTAGCATCCTTAACCCCTGAAGGACCAAACTTCTGGAATAAAAGGGAATCATGATGTCCTTAAGGGGTGCTCAAATACAAAATAAATAAAAATCACTGTTTAGTAGATGAAAACTTGCATGTATTTAATTTAATTATGTATTTTTCTTAATTGGGAATATACCTAAAATCAGCTTGCTAAACCTGCAGTTCTCTTGTCTGCTGCTTTTTCAAGCCCTCCCCTTCTAACCCCGCCCAGACTTTCTGTGGCTGTCCAATCATAGACTTCCCAATGCAGCTTAATGAGAATTCTTTGTAATTCAGGTGCTCTGGGCAATTGCTGCCTCTTCAGGTCATTTGCATTGAGCTAATTAATCCAGGAAGTAGCATTTCTTGTCTGCTTTACAGCCAAGAGGATGTAAGCAGGTTAATTTCAATTTCTATTGAAATCTGCACTTTTTGCAAAATGAAAAAGAGGACACACTCTTCACACATACAGCTTTTCAACAAGCTGAAGTTGTTTTGAAGTCTGGCCCTTTAATGCATGTCATGACTTTCCTTATATTTATATATAAAACTAACAGTTATTTTAATTTATTCTGTCTCTGGATTATTTTTGCAGGTCGAGAATTCCTTTTACAGTTATTCCTATTGATGTCTTTCTGTCCTGTTTTTGTAGGTGGATCCCTTCTCAGGGGGGCTGCTTCAAGGGGTCTTAAAGGAAAAGTAATCCCAAGGTGAGAGCGAATTCCATTTTTCATAAAGCTGCTTTATTCCCGTATTATCGTTTGCTTCTCGAATACATATCCTGACCTTTTTTTCTCCTGGTATAATTTTTGATGTGGTTATTGCCTCGCAGATGTGTTGCAGACTATGCAGCTTTGTAATGTATTAGTTGTCATCTAGTGGTGTAAACATTTAATACATGTTAAATACAGATTACCAGGATGCTTACATAACATTTTTTTCAGAGAGGTTCATTGTCTTATGGCTGTTTAAAATCGTGTCGTTTTCTTATAACAAGCTTGGACATGTGGCCAGCTGCAAGGCTGCCGCAACTTAAATCATTTCATGATCCAGTAATCTGCTCTCAGCCTGTTCTTAAAGATTTCAATAAATAATTGGTGATCATCGACTGAGTGACCTTAACATTTGCTTCTTGTTTACATCCAACTCCTATTAGGAAATAAAATTAAATTCAGGACACATTAATTTGCCTAGCATAATAGAAGGGTGACTCTGAAGGAGCGTTTCGTGGCTATTAAGGGGCTGAGTGAAGCTCGGCAGGAAATAAGACAAATCTCGGAAGAAGATGGCCTGGTCAGAATGTGGTGATTGATGCAGAAGTGACTTTTCAGCAGGCAGAGCATCACCCGGCACAACCTGAAGTCTTGTTAAAGTGGGCTTACACTGGTTTTTGTGCACTGTAACCTGCAGAGCTTCTGATAGTGTAGCAGATGAACGTGCAAGGGGCAAGTATGGTATAAATAAGGAATAGAATGGGGGATTGTTTGATAAGCCAGGAGCTTGAAGTACCTGTGATGTATACAGTAATATATTGTTTCATTGTTTTAAGCCCATACAAGCCTATGCACACCCATACACTTTATCACAACGGCACTTATTCAGTTCTTTGTGTAATGTGTGCATTCTGTTAGAACATGCATGTATGTAATATTTGTGTGTACATTTGTAAGTAAATATGTGTAAATGCACCCTCACACAGCTGCACACACGGCCCCCAATTAGCCTCAGGCATGCCTACCTAGCCTCGGTAACCCAAGTTGGTGTGAAAGGATTTGTGTTTTTTAAAAATTTTTTATCATGATTAACACTCCCTATTTAAAACCAGCTTATATAAACACAAGCACACACACAACTTTTACACTAACAGAGTAATAGAAATAGCTCATCTTCTCCTCCAGTGGCTCCAAACCTCCATTTGCACGGTGGATGTAGAAGAAATTTGAGGAGTCCAGCAGTGTGAATGTAGCACTCAACCTGATGTCTAGGGGAGTACTGGAGAGATGCAAACATAGAAACATAGAAACATAGAATGTGACGGCAGATAAGAACCATTCGGCCCATCTAGTCTGCCCAATTTTCTAAATACTTTCATTAGTCCCTGGCCTTATCTTATAGTTAGGATAGCCTTATGCCTATCCCACTCATGCTTAAACTCCTTTACTGTGTTAACCTCTACCACTTCAGCTGGAAGGCTATTCCATGCATCCACTACCCTCTCAGTAAAGTAATACTTCCTGATATTACTTTTAAACCTTTGCCCCTCTAATTTAAGACTATGTCCTCTTGTTGTGGTAGTTTTTCTTCTTTTAAATATAGTCTCCTCCTTTACTGTGTTGATTCCCTTTATATATTTAAATGTTTCTATCATATCCTCCCAAAAAAACAGCACCTGAGTTTCCTAGTTGGTATCCCATACAAGTACTAACCAGGCCCGAGTCTGGATAGCTTCTGAAATCTGAACGAGATCAGGCACCTTCAGACTGGTATGGCCTGAGACAGCAGTACAAAGACTCATTCCTGCTCCTTTTTGCATGATTCCTCCTGACAGGCAGGGAGTGACCAAGATGCAGGTCTCAGCCTTAATGCCTGCAACCTACTGTCATGGTGAATATTCAGGTAGTGAGATTTCTTAAATTAAACCTGCATTTAAAACTGTGGATATCTGGTGCAGGGCAGCTCCTTAAAAGAACACTCTAAGCAACATAACCACAACAGTGAGAGCTGTAGACTCCCAGCAGGTAATTTCATTACCTCTTCGATCATGTGGCTGGGAGCGAAAAATTGCAAAGTATATGTGGAATATGGCATTGATTTCCATAGCATGGAAACTTAGAATTTTGTTAGCTTTTTCGAGTAAAGATTAGTCTAGCACAGGGATAGGCAACCTATGGCACGTGTACCATGCACGGCACTCAAGGTGTCTTTGCACGGCACCCAAGGCTGCTAGAGCCAAACAGGGTCTGGCCTATCTGGAATCCCAGTGCGAATACGAAGAGGTGGTGAAGGACAATCCTCAATGTATGCATTGCAGCACGTAGTGGAAGTGATCTCAGATAATTTCAGTCCAGCACTTGTGAATGGGAATCCACACTGGAGTAGAGCAGCCCGCAGCTGCTGTTGCAGCTCCTGTCCTTGAGATGTACCTGGCCAGCCTGGTCCTCGCTGGACTCCAGGGAAGCCACCCACACTGCTAGATATACACAGAATAACTCTACCCTCATACAAATAATAGGAACAGCTCACACACAAACATACACACAATCCCCACAAACGTAACACCGCTGACAATCCTCATACATGCACACAACCCCACATGCAGCCTCTCACATGCAATACCCCAAACAACCCCTCACATGCACACACTACCAAACACACAATGTGGCATATCCATTTACACACAATTCCACAAGCAGCCCCCATACACAGCCCACATTCATAGGTATTATACACTACATCACAAACTACTTGTAAACATATGCAATATAATAGCTCATATACACACAAATACAACAATTCAAAACAACTGCAGTATAAATAACACAAGCAAAATACAGCAACATACACACCTCAATTAAAAAAAATATGACCGGCACGCTATAGGACATCACAATCTTATTTAGGCACATTGCTACTAAAAGGTTGCCTACACCTGGTCTAGCATTGGGTGGTAAAGCCATGTGGGTCACGTGTGCTGCTGCTAAGTCAGTATTGAAATAATTTATTGTTCCACTGTTTTTTTGTAATTGGTTACGCTTTAGCCGTTTGCCAGAACAACATAGGGTCATCCAAATGGTCTAAACTGTTTTCATTGTAGTTGGCCCAGGCCACCTCCAACATGTTCCTAAAGGAGTCCTGTGTTGTTAGGTTAGCAGGAAATCTCCATTGAGCAGTAAAAGGGAGAGGGGGCCTAGATTTATAACCAAATCTACAGAGGCATGGTCAGTAACAAATATGTTGTAGATTTCTGTACATATTACTTTTGGAACTAGATCAGGGTAGACTAAGATGAAATCTATCCTTGATAAGTTATTGTGGATAAACAAGGACTAGCAATTCCCTGATAAGCTTGAATTCTCACAAAGAGGGAGCTGGATAGACAAAATGGTAGGTGTAGTGGCCTACTTACTTTGTGAGCCACATGGTAGTAGTTTGCAGTCATAATGTAGGACACAAGGTGCTTCAGCCAGTGGTGCAGTCTGGTGCCAACTGTAACTTGTACTGTTTAAGCAGGTGCCTGGGAGCTTTCCTGTGGGAGATGTAGGCTGTGCTTAGGAGTCCATCAGACAAAATGGCGGGTGGCCCGCAACCTCTGGCGGACTCCAGTGTCAAATGCGCTCCCGTGCTCAATAATTGCTGGGCAGGAGAACAATAGCTGGCACCGGTGAATTGGTAAGATGCTGTTAGGGGTGAGGGGCGACAGGCGGGTGGTTCCTGTCTGAAACTGAGCAGCCTGAAGCAGAGCTCTTCTGCTTGGGTCTGCTGCCGTTTACTCCTCCCCCAGAAGTCTGGCATATCCCCTTAACATCAAGCTAAATATTAATTCAATTGCACCACAGTAATGAAGCTGCCCAGTGATTTAAACACATTTTAAAGTATCTGAAAAATGTTCCCCATAGTTGGCAACTGTAAGGAAGATTACAGTTAATACTTAAAGAGAGCCCAACAAGGCTGCAATGGATGGAATCATATATTCAAATGTGTTCTGTGCTGTTGGATTTGGTGTACAAAATTACATTTAATGTTTGAATTTGTCTCCCCAATCCCACATTTATAATGATAAACCATTGAAATATTGCCATTGAAATAGTTTTCTATGTATGGAGGTAAAAAAAAAAACACCTCCACAATAATTTCAATAATTTGAATAACTGTTTAGGAGGCTGTGAAGCCTTCCACCTCTAAGTAGATTTTGCAGCGTACTGTAATATATCTCAGATTTGCCGTCAGCCCTCTGTCTCTTGTTTTTATTGAGCTCTTATAAATATTTCATCTGTAGAAGTGACAGGGGCCCAAAATATATGTATCTTGAAAGCACGTGAGTTAGATTATCATTTACAGAATCTCCTTTAAGTTTATGCGTACTCATAACTCATGCGAAATTGTTCTCACAGCACAAGTTATTTTCAGAACGAAAGGAGGAAGCAAGGGCATGTGTTCTCAGTGTCAGCTCATTGGGGGGTTTGGAATGCCTCTTCAAAACTTTTAGTTGATCTCATTTATTTATTTAGAACATGTTTTACCAGCAGCAGTTCCTTGAGATTCCTCGCGTTTTCAAGGATTTTTTTGGAGAACACAAAAAATACAAAACAGATAATGAAACATCGGTGTGTTCGTATTGTTGGAAGAAATGTAAATACAAAATGTAAATTATTAAAATAACTGATGGGAAAATGACTGTTTAAGTAGTTATGTGCCATAACTGTCGAAATCATAATGTAAGTCATGTGAACCCTTCAGAAGAGTAGAGTAAAAGGGGAAATCTGGTAAACAAGCCATTTTGTAGATTTGCAAAAAGATGGCATGGGAACGTGAGAGTTTTTTTTGTTTTGATGGTGGTCCCAAATATTACTTCTAATCTTTCCAAAGCTTTTACACTTGTTGAAAAGCAGAATAACAAAAGAAGACCGTTCCTAAATGTAGAATTAAAGCGATGTTATAGATATCAAAACAACTTTAACTTAATAAAACAGGTTTGGTGTATAGATCATGCCCCTAAAGTCTCACTGCTCAATTATCAACCACTTAGGAATGAAATCTCTTTTGTTTCTGTTTATGCAGTGATATCTCCCCGGCTGTGATTTATAGAGCCTGCATGAATAAAAAATGGTTTCACTTTCAATCGGATGTAACTTACTTTAGAAATTTTTATCTCCTACTCCAGTGGTTCCCAACCTTTTTAGGTTCAATGCGGCCTTAATATTTCAATATTTTTCCAAGGCACCACAAGTCAAAATTTCTAAGTTGTATATCTGTACAGCGCAGTGGCATTTACTGGCACTATAGTGTAATGTACAGTGTTGGTGTTTGAAGGGGTGCTTGTATATCGTTTTAGTGTTTTAATATAGGGGTGTGTTTGTTTGTTATATTTGTGTTTGATTGCAGGGGGTGTTTGAATGTAATGTTCACTTTCAAATGCGGGTGTACATTTTTGTGAAGTATTTGTATTTGAGTGAAGGGGTGTGTTTGTATATCCTTTTGGAGTTTGAATACATGGGTGTGTTTGTATGTAATATTTGTGTTAGATTGCAGGAGTGTGTTTGTATGTTGTGTTGGTGTTGACTGATTGGATGTATGCACATACACTACCACATACTTACACACTTATACATAAACAAGTATTCATATAGACAACGACACATACACACACACTGACACACCTTAACACATGCATACACTGACATACACACACACCCTGACACACACAAACATTGATACATGCACAAACCATGATACAAATACCCACACTGACATAAAAATACAATGACACACAGATGTACATACACAAACGCATATCCTGACACACAGATGTGTGCGCGCACACAGACACACACTGACACAGAAGCACACTGACATATATATGCACAACCTGACACACACTCACACACACCTACACACACACACTCATACATACACACACACACTCATACATACACACACGTGATATTTTTAATATCTCCAGCCACTCTCCTGTTAGTTTACCTTGTGTGTAGAGGAGGGTGGCTTGGAGTCCTGTTGCTGCTGTTGTGAGTGAGAGGTCTGGGGCTCTTCATGCTCCTCTCCCCTCATTTTGTGGTTGCCTCCTCTCCCTTCCACACTGTCTCCCGGCATGACGCTGGAATAAAGTGACAGGCTGTCACTTCCTCCCAGCCGGATGACATTACAGGTGCTGGTTGCGGTCTTAAAGGACCGCGGCATTCAACCGGGACCCTGTTCAGCAGTAATGTTTCACTGGTGCTATAATCAGAGCACCGGGGAAACATTCCGCGGCACCCCTGTGTGCCTGTCGTGACGCTACAGTTTGGGAACCACTGTACTACTCTGTAAATTTACTTTAATCACACACAGGAGGCTCCTGTTGGCTCTAGCAAGATATTTACAGAGCAGGAGATAAGACATTCTAAATCAAACAGAATTTACAATAAGTTGGGTTTAAACATTAGATCTCAATTTACAGGAAGTATTTAGGAAGGCTGTGCAGGTCACATGCAGGGAGGTGTGACAAAGGCTGTATAAAGAAATGTATTTACCTCTTAAATGACAAAGAATTGAGCAGTGTGACTTTAAGGGCATATTCTATACACCAAAATGTTTCATTAAGCTATAGTTGTTTTGGTGCCTATAGAGGCCCTTCAAAAAATATTTTACCCCAAGTAATAGATGAATCATTATCAGTGTAGTGGCATTTTAGGTAGAAACACCTACATTGGGAAGAGCTTTGGTTTCTTTATGCCTGATGACCGCTAGCAGTACAATACCGTGGTTGGTCCCTTGTACTTGA